CCTAAAGCAAAATAACTAAAACCGTGGTTGTCCAACCTGGGCCACTTTAAGAAGAGTGGACTTCAACTCCCAGAATCCCCCGGCCAGCCATGCTATTCCCCATGCTGGCTGGGGAATTCTGGGAGTTGAAGTCCACTCTTCTTAAAGTGGCCAAGTTTGGACAACACTGACTTAAACCAAAGCTTTGGGGGCTTCAACTGCTGACAACATGCAACCCCAGGGAAATTATCCCACTTTGTTCTAGAAAATTCATCTCTCAGAGATGCTATTTGGTGGCTCAAAGAACTACAAGCAGGATCCAGAGAGAGAAAACTCTCATATATCGGCAAGCTTCTTTGAAGTAGTACAAAAATACAGCTGAGATCAGAAGGAAGCGCCTAAGGAACCATTGATATACATCATCTAATCCTGCCAAACTGCCATTTCCTTTGGAAAATCATCAAGTCCCCCAAAGCCATAATTTACTCCTTCTGGAATCAAGATGGACTGGAGGTCAGAGGGATGGAAAACAGTATCTCACCTGTTCTCCTATTTCCTGGACCTATTTCTTTCTTACAATAAGGAGAGATGCTCGTGCATCCCAGGCAGAAATAACCCGCGCTTGCTTGCAAGGCAGGACTACTGAACACAGCCTGGAAAAGTTATGGAGGAAGCACCTTTCCTCAAAAACTGGAAACCAGCTGCTTGGAATCTCCTTGGATTACAGGGGGGCATATCATCATCCTTTTGTGGATTATAACTACATGGGAGGGCATAATGGGAGACGGGAGAGTCAGAAGCTGGAACATAAGAGCATATTTGTAATAGAACCCTTGAGAGGGTCAACCCCAACTTCCCACTCAATGCAAAAATCCCAATTAACACATCCCAAATGTTTTTACGGCTAAATATACCTCCCTTGGAAGAATCTAGTTCAGTTCATCCTTCGCTTTTCCTAAACGTTCAGCTGTATGTTATTATTTCTATTGCTATGCAAATAGCATATTTGTAGGCATCTTTTTCTGTGCCAGAGTCAAGAAAAAAAAGGAGATGTAGAATCTACTACGGTAAATTGCAAAGAGGCGGCTCTATTGTTCCAGGAACACCATGAAGTTGGCTAAAATTACAGAGATAGATCATGGCTCTCCATGATATATTGACAAGCCCCTGGAACACTGAAGTATTAGTCTTTTGTAGCGAAAATGTCTTGGGGAACTAAACAGATCTGATTTATTGTGGGATAAGCTTTTTGAACTACAGCCAGTACAGATACAGGCAGCGTTGTTACTGGTTTCAGAGTTCATACATACTGGTACTGGGGAAGAAACAGAAGGCAGAGGCTGAGATGCCATGAAATAGAAGTGACAGTATTTGTATCAGTCACCTGTTCAACTGTTTTGAGTAGTGATAGCCTCCCCACAAGCAAGGAAGCCCCAAACATTGAGTAGGTTAAAGACTGGAACATGCCAACAGAATTCAGGGGTAGAGCAATATAAGAGAAATCTCACTCAGCCTTTCAGCAACGTTCCTTCCAGCAGATTATATTGTCTGTTGCCATCCCATCAAGGAAGCTTAGCCACAATAGATTCTAGCCTCTAAAAGGGATTAATCTAAAGCTGCAAGTAACACAATTGAATGATATTGCTTATCTTAAAAAGGCAGGCATCTGTTCTCTATTCAGGTGAACTAAAAAACAAAATAAAACACGCACACAAACACACACAGGCCTGAATAGGTTGGTTACATCCAAAGGGGCAGGGGGAGAAAAGCTTTGAACACTTTACATCTGTGGAACAGAGAGCACAAAACTGTGGTTTCTGCATTCCCATGCTGAGTATATGGAAATGGCTTCTGTAAAGTGCTGCATTTCCCCATTCTGTTCAACATGGAGGTGCTTTTATGATACGTTACAACCAGAAAGTGCTCTTGAGGTACAGTACAACGTAGGTGACATAGATACAAGGACGAGAATGCTCTGATCACTGGGGAATGCCACATGCAATCCAGAAATGCAATCTTTATGCACACAACCACATTCTTACCACAGTTCAGAGAAGCATTACATTTCTGAAAGGCTGGGATTGTTATGTTCACTGTTTGTACAAGGAAAGCAAGCTTCAGGCAAGGCATAATATGTGGGCTCACCATAGCCCCTATCAGCAAGGAACATTTGCATTGTACTGCTAAGGCAAGATTTCTTTTGCTTTAGGACAGAACTTGATTTATGTAACTCTTGGACATTAAGGCTTTGAGCCAAACTACAGTTCTGCAGCTACCAGTGAAAAGGGGCTGTCAAAGCTACTCCCTAGGGCTTCATGTATTTAAGGAAAGAGGAGGAAAAAAAGATATGGCAGTGCTACAAATGATCTTGGTGGGGTCACAGACAGTGCTCAGTTTCTACACTCAGTTATTTCTGTTTACCTACAAACTAATATGTTAGCTAGAACTGTGTCTCAGGTTGTCACTAAATATTAGCTTTCCTGGTCAATAGACTGATTCACAGGGGGCCAAGATAATTGGAATTAAAACATTATGAACGCTGAATCTTTGATTACTGCTTATAGTAGGGTTATTCCACCCACGCTGTGCCTTCACACCCTGCCGATACCCCCAGATAATTTTTAGCAAGCTTGCAAACAGCAGTTGCTCACATACAGATGGCTCTTGCTCTCTCCAATAGAATTGATTGATTATATATGAAATCGTGGACCCCTGCGAGTTTTGTCATGAATTTCCGGGACCAAAGACCACATTTAAAATCAAGACTAGCACACAAGACACCATGCTAGCAAAGGTCTCTCATAAAAGTATTGTGACTCGATTCCTTGCTATTAATTAACTGTACGACGATGGGATGAATTTGCTCGTAGCCATTCCTTGGTACAGTTATAACCAGCAAGTCGTGAAGTGGTATTTCACAAAGGAGGATAAAGATTTCCCCAAAATTCAAGCCATCACATCTAGATCCCAATTAACTAGACCGTTAAAGTGCCCAATTGCCTCCCCCCCCCCCAGATTTCAGTACTTTTTATGAGATTAGACCATTCCATACTGTTAAACATAAAGTTTGCCAGGACAAAGTTAACTCACCGTCTGTATTAAGACAAGAATGCAGGAAGAAAAGCACACAGTCAGTTGACAGTGAAATTATTTTATATCTAAAGAGTTGGTGTGCCTACCTGCAGAGGGACCTTTTAAAATGCTGATCAGGCAGCACCTGGATTACAGGTTAATTTGCAAGCCAAAATCAAGCTCCCACAGAAGCAACACATATCACTTTTATTTGTTGCAGCTAGAACTGCTGCGTAATCTAAGCTTTATCAGAGATGTTTTAAAAAATCAAGCATAGTTTCATTAACCAAATGTTAGATTCACCGTTTCAAAGCGACTATGCCATAACTTCTGCTGAAGAGGACTATCATGTAGAAGCAGTCCTTGGCTGGGCAAAGCTTTCCGGAGACTTGGAAATGACCGCACCTGAAATCTTCTGTGGCCTGAAATACCTATTTTCTAATCACGGTGATGTTCTCTTAAGATTAATTTTTGATCACACCCTTTGGAAAGCCCTATGTTGAGCAGACTTCCCCAATCCCTTCCTCACAATTCAGTTTCACGACTGCCATTTTCAGCCTCTCACTTTTAGAGCTATTGTCAGCAATTAATGGTTCGGGTCTTACAGGCTAAGTTTCCTTTCATATTACTACTGTCCCCCAATTCCATTTCAGGTAAAAGCAAGTCAGCAAACGTACCTTTCAGAGCAATTACTTTAGAAGCAGGATTCATAATGGCACTCTCTGCAGAGATAGGACGTCTAATGGGAGTTGTTGGATCACTCATGTCTACAATCACAACCTGTGCTTGTTCACCAACTTTTTCTCGGATGCAGATGAATTTATCCGATTCCATTGTTAACGTACTGAACCCAATGTTAGCTGGATTAATTCCAAGATTTTGGAGCTAAAAAGGAAAAAAGAACAGCCATTTTGTTAGAAGGCTTCTGAAGCCAATTCATTTCTTGACCTGATTTTTGAAGAGTAGAGAAGAAGAAGAAAACAACTGTCTTAGCTACCCAACAGAATCTCAAACTTAGTGTCCACTAAATGTATTTCAACTCCTAGAATTCCAAACCAGGAAAAGCATGCTGGATGGGAATTCTGGAGACTGATGTTCCAAGAAGGCACTGAATTCAGAAAGAATGCCCTACAGAAATTCTTCAGGAGTTCATTCTTTCTACAGTGAGTTCATGTTCAATATCTGCAAATATATCAGAAAGGAAAAGGACAAGCTCCCTCAAGCTATGCACAGTTCTCAGTAACTACTCAGACACGTCCATGTATTTTTCTTGGCGGTTACACAAAACTAGCTTGCCAGAGACTTCTTGTATGATGTCTTTCAATGTTCCAGTGTAGCCTACAGCCTTGGGATTTCATGTCTCCCATTCAAGTTCTAATCCAGTCCAACCCTTAGTTTAAAGAAAGAAAGAAATAAAAACAGCCAGGGATGGATAAATGGTCTGTAAATACTCAAAGACCTACCCAAAGCATATACAGTACAAATGAAGGAACATGTAGTGTTTGAAAAATTCTGCATTAGTCACTAAAAGAACATTTCTCTAATATCTTACAAGGAAGGGGAAAATGGGAGGCTAGGCTTCCAACACTGTACACTTATTTTGCCCTCTTAATATTAAACATTCTCATGGACTTCTCACGGAAGCTGCTTAATAACTCTGTCCAGTAATCTATTTATAGGTAGCCATCAATTATTATAAAAGAAGGCAAAAAACAAAAACACATTACAGATTGCAATATGGAACACCAAGCAAACAAAGGGCTCTTACTACAGTATTTGTCATGTTTCTGCAGTATTCAGTTATGGCAGTGTTTATTTCTTACATCAGCAAGCTTGTTCCCTGCAACTATGAACCGTTCTCAGAAGTCCTTTTTATGCAGTAATGCATAAAAAACAGGAGGCACAAAGACAGCATCTAAAAAGAATTCTATATTCTGTTCTACAGAAGACACAGCATAGATTTCAAGCACTAAATATCTTGAACATCCAACTGCCAATGCTAGTATTAAGCAGATCCTTGGAGTCATCTGCTACAACTTCTACATAATTTTGGTCTCAATTACAAACGAGTCAAAAATTCTCATCACCCACTCTTTGACTTCTGCAATTCTGAGCGGAGTGGTTGAAAGCAACAGCTCTCTGTTCTGGAAAACAGAAAATTGAAGCCTGCTCAGCCAGTCCCTATCTAATCCTCCTCTTGTTTAAGGAAATTTTCCCCTGGTGAGACCATTATTCCAATATTCTATTACCTGACTAAAAGAGAAAAGTTCAAGCAACTCCCTGGGAAACTGGTAAGAGGAGGTTTACTGTATTTGTTATCCTTATCGCAGAAGTATAAATATTTTGACATATCTCCCTTCAAGTTGAAGCCTACTCACAAGTTTCCCTTTAAAATCCAAGTTAATTTTTTTCTCAAAATTTTCATAATCTGTTCAATCGTGTCCGATTCTTGGAGACTGCCTGGACAAGTCCCTGCAGTTTTCTTGGCAAGATTTCAGAAGTGGTTTGCAACTACCTCCTTCCTAGGGCTGAGAGAAAGTGACTGGCCCAAGGTCACCCAGCTGGCTTTATGTCTAGGTGGGGCTAGATTCACAGTCTCCCGGTTTCTAGGCTGATGCCTTAACCACTATACCAAACTGGCTAGCATCTAGCAACATAAAGCAACGGAGTCTCCCTCTAAGTCATGTTTGCCTTAACAGAAATTCTGTTCTGCACTCTACTGCATCCCAATCCTGTATAAGTCTTTTCTGCAAAACAACTGGTTAAGTGAAAGAAAAAAGAATTCCCATAAAGACCTGCAAGTACAGTGGTACCTCGGGATACTAACTTAATGCGTTCCGTGACTCTGGGCGTATCCCGAGTTGGTCGTAACCCGACGCAAATTTCCCCATAGGGGTCAGTGTAAATCCGGTTAAACCGTTCCGCCCTCCGAATTTGGTCGCACCCCGAAGCAAATTTTCCCATAAGATTCAATGTAATTACCATTAATCCGTTCTGGCATCTGTGGACCACGCGTCAGGGGTGGGAAAACGGCCAGGCGCAGCACGGTGTGGCGGGAAAACAGCCAGGCACGGCAGTAAAACAGCCGGGCGCGGCGGGAAAATGGCTGGGCGCCGCACGGCACAGCGCAGCGGGAAAACAGCCGCGGACCACGTGTCAGGGGCGGGAAAATGGCCGCGGACCACGTGTCAGGGCGGGAAAATGG